ACTGTTGTTATTTATATTTGAATCCTGGTCTAGCCCCAATACATTTTTACACTCAGAACACTGTTGTTATTTATATTTAAATCCTGGTCTAGCCCCAATACATTTTTACACTCTGAATACTGTTGTTATTTATATTTGAATCCTGGTCTAGCCCCAATACATTTTTACACTCAGAACACTGTTGTTATTTATATTTTATTTATTTCATCTTCATTATTTCTCGTAGAAGTCACACAAGGCATGGTGTTCTATTTCGATATAGTCATGCCATACAAAACTGTTTCATATACTTATTTACAGTTTCTGGCTGTGGTATGGGGATCCTTAAGCAAAGTGCCATTGTATTTCCTAATTAGTTGTTCTACTGTAGCTATGGAGTCAGTCCACCAATCTGTTTACATTTTCATTTCCAGAGATTATCTCATAATCCAGATGTCAATAAAATTTATGAAATTTCCCATATTGATACACTGTTATATGTAGGTGTGCTTTAGGGGTTTAAAAAATTCCTAGTGTCAAGGTGAAGGTCACTGTTATTAAGCATAGAACTGGAGGATGTACCCGGTACTGTCAGAAATACATTGTATTGTCCTTTCTAACCCCAATACTGTTGTTTTTATTACTTAATGGATATAAATAAGGTGATATTGGTGCAAATGTTTTCATCATGAATCGTATTGTGTACTGAAGAAAATGTGATACACTGATGCATTGGTGAGTCATTGTTCCATGATATTCTGTACTATAAAGGTTAAGGATGTATTCTACCTCACTGGGACATGCTTCTTCTTCACACAAGAGTTCTACATGAAGAAATCTGTGTCTTGTATACACTGTAAAATTAATTGATCACACATTTGAAAGGCACCCAAAATTTTTGCGTTAATACCTGTCATTAATTTCCCCAAATTTTCTAATCATACAAATTAAAACATTTTAGGGGAAACAACTCTTATAAATCAAATTATATGTAAGGTAGTATACATACTTAAGGAAACTCATTTCAGGTGCTGTTCTTTTTTGTAAATCTGATTTTAACTTATGTGTCTAGTATGCTTAAAAACGTGACATGTTAATTGTAAACTATTTCATTTTATCTGAAACTTGTTTTTTCAGGAGCATGGCCAGTCCTCATCGACGAGTTCGTAGAATATGCAAAACCTTTGATTCAGGGACCCCGCAGTACAACAGTATGATAGTGAATACCAACTTTTAACGTGTGAACTATTTAATTTTTACATTCTGTATGAACATGTAGACAACAGAGAAACAGCAGTGGAAGAGTACGAGAGGGTGACCTTTCAACTAACAACAAAAGATGTTAGGCCAATGCAATGTATTTCTGTTGTCAAAGTTTATCCACGAGGGGGGCGAAACACATTTTTGTTTTGTCTATAACTAGATGGGGAAATTTTGTTATTGTTGCTGTTTGTTACTGAGATACATGTAATCTATCTTAACGACTGGTAACTTTTTTTTTTTTTTTTTTTTTTTGAAAATGATATATATCTGCATCTAATTCCAATGTCATCACCACATTGTTAAGCTCTAGTTCTAGGTATCCTTGTCTTAATCTTCCGCACTTACCGTATAACTTCTAAACTTAAAACTTAAAATTATCAAGACAAATGGGTTCAAATCTGCATCTAACCCTTTCACCACTGTAGACCCTGATGAACTCATCCAGATCAATGCATGGATGAGTCTACTAAAGTTACACAGGGGTGAAAGGGCTAATATTCTAAATTTAATTTGGTGTCCCAGGTCTGTTTGCGCTATTAAAGTGCCACTGTAAGAATACAATAAAACCGCAGTATAAGGCTTTTTCACCTTGCTTACTGCCAACATTTGCGGCTTGCTTAATTTCTTTGTACAACTTCCTCAAAGTTTCACCAAAGACCTTTTTCTCACATTTTTACCAGTGATATAAAGTGACAAATTACATTTTGTTATTTTCAACAAAATGAACAAAAAATTTCAATTGTGACATCACTGACATCATGAAATTTTTTTATTTCAACATTACTATACACAATTCATTGTCTCAGTATTTAACGGCTGTGGCGGATTATCTACTCATGGAAAAATAAATGTAGTGAATAGTTATATTCCACTCGACCTTAAATGACCTTAGCTGTTAATAGGACATTAAACAAAATTAAACAAAACCAATTGTTGGTTGAATTTGTTTTCATATTTTCACTTGTGTATGCACTCATAGAAATATAAAATACTGGCCCTCTATATAATGCCAAAAAAAATCTGAAATAAATGTGGCAGTATAAGAAGAATTGACTGTCATTCCTGTATAACCTCTTTGTTAAGTTGGTTGATTTTGACTTTATCACTAGAAATTAATTTTGAAAACTGTTAGTCAGTCGGACTAGTAGTTTCCCAGCGTACTAGTCCATGTGCAAATCCCACTAACCCAGTATTACTCAACATGATAAGTATTATCGATTTTAGACAACCCAGTTGGGCTAGCAGTTTTTAGAACCACTAGTCCAGCTGGAGATTTCACTAGCCTCAGACTATCGGGCTACCCTTATTGTTGAGAACTGTCACTGCTATATATCAAAACTTAAAGAAAACATTACAGTATTTAGAGTGGGCAGACATTGAGATATTAGAGAAGTTATATTCATTTTGTAGGCATGTTCCTAACTCGTAAGGTGATATTTACCAGATCTAGGCCTCGTAAGGTGATATTTACCAGATAGGCAACATATACCAGATCTAGACCTCGTAAGGTGACATTTAACAGATCTAGGCCTCGTAAGGTGATATTTACCAGATAGGTGACATATACCAGATCTAGGCCTTGAAAGGTGAAATTTACCAGATCTAGGCCTTGTAAAGTGCCATTTACAAGATCTAGGCCTCATAAGGTGACATTTACCAGATCTAGGCCTCGTAAGGTGACATTTACAAGATCTAGGCCTCATAAGGTGACATTTACCAGATATAGGCCTCATAAGGTGACAATTTTCAGATCTAGCCTTGTAAGATGATATTTACAAGATATAGGCCTTGTAAGGTGATATTTTCAAGACCTAGGCCTCATAAGGTGACATACCAGATCTAGGCTTGTAAGGTGATATTTTACCAGATCAAGGTGATATTTTACCAGATCTAGGCCTCATAAGGTGATATTTTATCAGATCTAAGCCTCATAAGGTGACATTTTACCAGATCTAGGCCTCATAAGGTGAAATTTTACCAGACTAGGCCTCATAAGGTGATATTTTACCAGATCTAGGCCTCATAAGATGACATTTAACCGGATCTAGGCTTCATAAGGTGATATTTACCAGATTTAGGCTTAAAATAGCAATGATGACATTGAATTCCTTAGTTTGTTGGATAGAATTACTTAAGATAAATTAATTTGATTATGATTTTTTTGTTAATCATGCATCTTTTTTTGTGAAAAGTGTAAGAATTCACACCAAGTCTCATAATCATCCGCAAATTATATTTATCAGAAACTGTGCAGTAGATCTTGGGTTTTTTATGCATTTAAGTGTAACAGTATATTTATATAGAAATGAATTACCATTATTATGGAAAGTAAATGTGAATACTTAAATGTGTGGATTTTTTTCCCCCACAGAATCCTTATAGAAAGTGATGGTACTGTGGTATTTATGTTATTAAACGAACATTTGATATATATATGTTATCCTCATCAATATATGTGGTAAAATATATTCCATGGGCAGATATGTATTTCAAGCTCAGTGCAAAGTAAGCCAATACTCTTGCATAAAGAAATGGCCTGTTTCCAATGTATGAAATGTCCCAGTGACTTTGAACACATACAGTGATACACTAAATAGTACCTCAAATCCAGGAGAGTTCTCATCCAGGTTACTGCGGGAGTTACACTCGCTTACGCTCTCTGCACCCCTGGTATATGTCATAGCAAAATTGAAGGCATGCAGCCAGCTATTTGATTGGTCTCGGGTAAAAAAACACCTGACCAATCGCAATGCTGACACCTGTCCTTGGAAGATCACAGAGGAGTGATACCCGACTTCAAAGCCGGTCAATTTTACTGTTTTGCTTGCCATTGACTTCTTTTGATGTACATCAAAGGATCAAACAGTCTTCTTGTCTCATCAACAAGGTGGCACAGACTGAGCCTTCAATTTTGTCATGACATATTCGAGGGGTGCAGACAACGTGAGTGAACGTAACACCTTAAGTATGGAGGATGGAGAGATCTAGGCTTCTAACAAATCTTGTTGTATTACAGTGTGTTGAGTTTGATATTTTTTTCAAAAGTTTGATTTCTATGTTATCCATGAAAGATGTATAGGGATGCACTTTAGTGTTAACCAAAAAAACACATGAGTATTTCCTAAGGAAATTCTTGCAGGAAACTTTTCATAAAATCACAAAAATCATAGTTTCCTTGATACTCGAATTGTTCACAGAGCAAATATTATGATTATATTCTAATCCACAATTTAATTTATTACAAAGATCTTGGGGGTTTATTGGTTTCTGCTAACTTCAATTTTTAATCTTCCAACAGTCTTTGCCACTTAAGGTGGAAAGTTCCACCAGTTTTCTACTGGTCATAAGTCATACCCACGTCGTGATGCTAGGCATTGAAGAGTTACCTGTTTAATTTCGATTGTCACAATTTGATTCTAATCTAAATTTGTTATAATTACTGAGCCATTCCAGGGAAACTGTTAAAATTATCATTCAAAGTGAATTTGCAGATAAACTTGTATTAACAACTACCGGTACTATAAAATGCACTTGTCAAAATGTATGTCCTGTTTTTCACTAGTTGTAGATTAAGGATGTTTTTTCAAGTGTGATTTTTAAGACTTTATGTGTAAGTGTTTTTCCAAGATGAATCTCCTAATGAAATGATTTTAAATAAGAATTGAAAAAAAAATCTGCTCTTTTACTTAAAAAAAAAAAGCAAAATGAAGTGGGGTGAAATTGGAAATGGAAATTGATGTGTGATAAATCAAATTTACCTGATCATATGCAGTCTTCGTCTGCAATTTGATCTGAAGAAAAATTGAAATGTGAGGTTATGCACTCCTGGTTTGAAATGGATTGTTTTAGCCTTGTTGGTCTGTACGGTCACATACCAGTTACTACACAGCTACAAAGGAAATTTTAAGGAAATATATTTACACATAAAATACATTTGTTACAATTATTTGGCTATTTAAACGTAGAACCAGGGATCAATCCATATTCCTTGTTTTTAAAACAATTCTCAGACTGACTTTGAAATTTAATCTATCAATAATTTGACTCCAAGACTTTTGTGATGCCACAATATATTGGAAGTCAGGGGCTTAGCTGCCTATACGCTGGTATGCAGGTTTATCCACCAAAAAAACTGCTTGTTTTATCCCCTTGTCCTCTTAACGAGGCCCTGCCCTTGACCCGCTCCGAAATCAATCCTCTCCTAACAAGGGCTAGTTACACCCCTGGGAGTCTGGGACACCTTGAAGTTGTGACATCACAATTGAAATATTAATAACAGCCAATCATAGCTTCGCTCTAAGTGTTTTTAACTTGTTCACCCCTCAAGATACATTTGAACTCTTCCAATTCAAAGGTTGTATTAGTTCATTATGAAATTTCAGGGGCAAACAAGTTAAACATATGTTTATGAGTTATGCCACTGTTAACAGGGTAGTTGTGTGCTGAGTAAGTGTGGTGGTTTTGATTAAAAAGTCACCAGTTCGTGACCTCTTATGCGGTGTTTTCAGATCGTAGACATTGATGTATAAGAACAGTGAAGGATTGGACTGAATGTTTTGGCATGGTGGAGTATTTGACACATAAAAAGGAATTCAAATTACAACAGAAAAACTCAAAACTAAGTTTATGTTAACTGTTATGTTGAAAATAAATCTACTGTTTACCTGCTGTATATAATAATATGCCTAAATTGATCCCATTGTTTTATATACTAACTACCAAATAATTCTGATACAAAAATCATGAAATATGTCCAAATATCAAATATTCATAGGTTGAAAAGTGTTGATTTTTTCATTAAACCTATGAATTCAAAATATTTGCATGATGGTAAATGGTGTTGGATCGTTCCCCTATACCTTGTACTTGTAGTGTTTTAATTTTTTTTAAGAGCTAACAGGTAGTCAAAAAAAAACTGATCATGATTTTAGATTTTGAAAATTCTTTGATTGCTTTGTGATTATCTTTAGAGATAAAGTAGTTTTTCTCTTGTAGGACACTGGAGTTTTTCTGGCTAAACATTTTACATTGGTGATTTTCAAGTAATTAAAGCAAATAGGTTGAAGAAAGCTCAGATGACTTGAAAAGCAGTTTGGGTATGGGGTGGTTACCAGAATATCTCTAGATATATCAGGTTATTTTGCAAAAATATATATGACGATTTTAATATGACGCTGCATTGAAATATTTTGTGTATACCAGTCATTACAAAATAAACTTCTTTATACATGAAAACTCAAACTTTGTGCTTGTTTTCACTGTTTCAAATATTTTGTGTATTACCAAATTTAGTGGTCAGGTTTTTAGCTCACCTACCCGAAGGGCAAGTGAGCTTATGTCATGGTGCAGCGTCCTTCGTCTTTTCCTTTAAACAACATCTTCTGAAAAACGAACAGGCATAGAGCCATGATATTTGAGTGAAAGCTTTGTTGGTAGGAGCCCGACAAACTTTGAGAACGAAAATGACCTTGACCTACTTTCAAGGTCACAGGGGTCAAATGTGTCAAGCACTTCAAACGACTTCTGAAGAAGAACTGAAAGGTATAGAATCTTCAAATTTGGCTGGTGGCTTCCTTGGATAGAGCTCAATTAAGTTTGAGAATGAAAATGATCTTGACCTACTTTCAAGGTCACAGCAGTCAAATATGTCAAACAACTTCTTCTGAAGAACTAAAAGGTATAGAATCTATATATTTGTCTGATGGCTTCCTGGGATAGAATCCGACAAAGTTTGAGAATGAAAATGATCTCAACCTTCTTTTAAGGTCACAGAGGTCAATAACATTTCAAAGGATTTGTTCTGAAGAACCAAAAGGAATGGATTCATAAGATTTGGCTGGTAGCTTTTTGGGATAGAGCTTACACAGTTTGAGAAGGAAAATGACATTGACCTACTTACAAGGTCACAGGGGTCAAATGTGTCAAACTCTTAAAACGACTTCTGAAGAACTGAAAGGTATATACTCTTTTTATTTGGCTGGTGGCCTCCTGGGATAAAGCCCGACAAAATTTGAGATTGAAAAAGACTTTGACCTACTTTCAAGGTCACAGCAGTCAAATATGTCAAACAACTCCTTCTGAAGAACTAAAAGGTATAGAATCTTCATATTTGGCTGATGGCTTCCTGGGATAGAACCCCACAAAGTCTTTACTGCATCCGAGACAGGTAGTTATCAGAAACCTTCGGAAACTTGATATATACTGGCAAGATTGTTTCTAAGAATGCAAGAAGGATGTTTAAAAGCAAACCGAGACGATTTTCAAAAATATTGGCAGAATCGATGGAAAAACAAATCTCCAACACCTAGAGAAAATCAACCTACCATAATAAGCAAAACACCTTTCAGTTATAAGATTGTCCAAAATCAAAAGAAATGCTAGATTATGAAACAGGTACTCTGTGGATGTCATCAACTCTAAGTTTATGAAAGCTTTTGTTAAAGTTCCCTATCTCCAACTAGTCATACACTTGAGAATTAGTATTGATGGGCAATTTCCTTCTTGGAAAAAAACCCTTTCTTGACTTGGTAGGAAACAAAGGGTCATGGTGAATGAAAAACCAGCCTCAATGGAATCAAGCTATGTGCGGTACACCACAAGGATCAGTGCTAGAACCACTTCTTTTTGTGATAATGATATACCTTTTCGATGATGACAAGGCCTTTCAGACCAATAAACAATGAATAAGATTGTGTAGTTTTATAGCATGATATTGATAAAGATGGCTGTGCCAAAAAATATTCACTACGATACAAATTAAAGATTGTCAGAAATCTTACTATTTCACTTCTACCCAGACAAATGTAAAGTGGTGTGCTCGGGAAACAAAACAATAGATTCAACCACACCTTGGAGTAACTATTGCCACCATTGCTGACTCAGAAAAGAATATTAAAATCACCATAGATTAAACGAAAAGGTTAGTTAACCAAATAGAGAGGATTTCGGAGAACAATGGAATACATGGACATCAAAAGGTATGAGGTTTAAGACCATTATATACATAACTAGTTAGATATAATTCATAAAGTGATTATTTAGAATAAAGAAAATGTTATCTTAGCAATTGAAAATATTATTATTATATTCAACATCAAACAGCAAAACAATTACCAGGATTTTCAAACTTTGTCTTATAGGGAACGTTTGCAGAAATTAGGATACCAACATTAGCGTATATATAGAGGATTATCGTAATGATGGAGGGTGAGCTCATTTCTGAAAAAATGCTCACAGACTTATTTACGATTAAGGAATGTTCAAACTCACGAACCCATAACGTTTATCAAGAGGATTCAAGGCTATTAGCACAGAATGAAATGATTTACAAACTTTACTATCGAAGTCTATATGCTTTTAGAAAATATTTGTTCACATAAAGAACTTATGATGATGGCATGTGGAAAAAACCTCCCAATGACTATAATTCACGCAATGACAGACATTTGAGTAAAATACATCAACACTTGAACGGAGAACAATACATTGAGCTTCAGACGTGCAAATGTTGATGTTATAGAACAGATAATGAATCATGTCTTTTAATGGAAACGCGTTTAGATTTCCTTAAAATGAGGCAGGACTAATCTATGAAACTCATCACAAAAACTCCTATAAGACTCGTTTCATAAAATCTCATATGATATGAACACTCATTTAAGATCCTATATATATCAAAACATATAAAAACAGATTCAATAACACTTGATTGGTCAGGTGCTGATTTATAATCAAAGATCTAACATATTTTGTTTGTTTTGAAAACTTATTAGAGTCCTGTGTAGAGGATCATCTGGTCGAAATTTTACCAGAAAATAAACTAAGCAAAACTGTCATTCTGAATTGAACTAAACAAAAAATGAATTACTATGCGGTACCAAATTAGAATCATCAAATGTGACTTGTTTAAATGTGAAATATACAGACAGGAAAAGAAACGAAACAGGTAAATTTCTTTTGTAGAAAAAAAAAATAAAGTGGGAAAATGTGATAATTTAAAAAAAAGATATCATTGAAAACTCATTTTTACAGTGCATGAACTGTATTGAATTGTTTAAAGCGACCCCAACCCCACCCCGTAACATTGATAAATAGTGTGCAGCGTCACTAAAAAAACTAAATTTATGACATGATACCACAGGCTACCACAAAATGGAGTTACTTCCCTTGAATCGACTCTTTCGATGTTGAAATCAAGAAATCGTGTGGCTGACAACAGCCAAACAAACCGAAAGAAAGTAAGGAAGTATCTTTATTTACGTTTACCGTAATATTATGTGACATCTTAGAATCGGTAAAATGACTCTAGCTCTGTAGGTTTGCATAAAACGTCCTTCCGTTCTTCTGCGATTTACCGATGAAGTATATATTCAAGCAGATTGTGGGCAACGTCACACCGTCATAATCAGATAATAAGGTCACTCGTGAGAAATCAATTAATTTATTTCTTGTCGGGATACAAACTTGTTCCATTGTGTTGACTTATATAACATGAAATTATGTTGCAATCTAATGGGTCAGTTTTTTGTGTTATTAGTATAACAGAAAAAGAGAGTAATGTTCTTCTACCGGAGTTTGAATCAGCGACCCCCACCTTGTCCACTACTCCACAGGGACGTAGATCGCTTTATTTGTTCATTAAAATGTATGTGTTGGTGTCTCATCTACAAAAACTCACAAAGGATATAATACAGGGACCTGCTGTTTTTTCTTCTTATAAACATAAAAAGGCAATCCATGTGAGATGTGTTATATCCCTATGTATACAATTATAACCTGTTAATAACATGAAAAACTCAGTATGATAGTTGTTAAATTTGTGCTATTTTTGACTTGATAGTCAGTACAGTGGCAGATTAAGATATTTAATAAAGGCTGTTGGTTTCCATATGTGCCAAGATGAGAGGAAAACATATTTGGGTGTATAAAATGGTTGTAGGAGTGAGGGGGTTGGCTTGCTATTAAGGCTAACCATACTTATCTCATAGGTATTTCATAGGTAAGACATCAATGGAAAGCCTGTGGCTTGTAATGATGTTATTCATCTGGATTTTGTTAATTGATTGGTTGATGATGGAGTTACCAGTAAGTATTACGGTATCACTAATAAATTGATCCTTTTGGTGAAATCCTTAAAGTTGAGTTCACATTTTTGTAAATTCACATTTTAGATGCCAAAAAAGGGGGGGAAAAAGAAGGGTGGAAAGAAAGGGAAAAAGAAAACAAAGACAGTTGCAGGAGCAGATGCTATTATTCAGAAGCTTCTGAAAGGTTATGAACGGAATTGTGCCTTGACAGAATCTCAACCAAGTCCATGGATTAGGAATGCACTGAAAGGCTGTCTGGAGAATGGAACAGTCCTTGATAAGGTACATATAAATATATGAATTGTACCTTCTGACTTACTTGACCCATATTTCATCCTGCAGGTGAGAAATTTTTCAGCGCTTTAACTTTTGCTGGCTTTAATGAAGATAATTCCCCATAGTATGAAAATTTTAAACAGACGAAAATTGTTGTTTTTAATTTTCTGCTTAAAAAAATGACTTCAATTGGCTTTCAGTAAGACCCTTGAGAGCTAGTGTTTTTTTGAATTCTTAAAATGAGCTTCGATTCTTGGGTTTGAAAGGATATGTCTATTTGACATGTTTAGACTCCTCAGATTTCAGAGAAAAAGTTATTTGACTTCTGAAATTGCTAAACGGGATTGGTCAACTGAAAGTGCTGATTGGAAAATGAGAAAACTTAATTTAGTTTGGTTTACCAAATACAGTTTAGTATGGTGTATCAAATATAGTTAATTCTTATGTCCAGGTACAAGCTCTGTGAAAATCTCTTTGACTCTTTACTAAGTCAGAGCAGGGAATTTCTTTTACATTCGAAGCATGCTTATGAATACAAATTTCTTATTTCCTTAGTCAGATAATGAATCAATATAGCATAGCATGGTCTCTATGGAGGGAATTGACACTAAAGTCATATAATCATGATTTGTTAACAGTTTATCATTGAGTCGTCAGTTGTTGAGAAGGAGGGTGACATGCCGGTTTTGTTGGAACCCCTGCTGGCAGCTATCCGACAGGAACGGTACATACACATCAGGGACCTCCGTATATGGAACTATCCCATGTCCCACGAAAACACAGCTACATTGGTAAGTCACTTTAATTATGGTAGATTAGGTATGGTAGATTAGGATCATATTATATGTTCATTGACCTTGTGGCAGGGAAACATGATAATAATGTTTGGCTAATGCAAATCCTGATTGAAACATGATTGATCGAGGGGAAACAAAGGATCTTGTTTCCCTTCCGCAAAGCAACAAATGGAATGACCAACAGTAAAGATGCCTGCTCACCATTGTTGTCATTTACTTTAGCCACTCAGAATTCGGGCATGCAAGATTAAAATGTGATTGGAGATATTATTTATGGTGAAGGGGAAGCATAGCATTTTAGTTTTACGTCATTAGATCAATATTATCCAATCAGATATGCTGTTGTATGTTGTATCAAAAGTTTTCACTGTTAATGTTGTAACCTCTTAGTTTGTCATGGAAGTTTGTCGTAGAAGTATGAAGAAGTGTGTTGTTGTAATCTCCTGGTGAATTTACAGGGCCTACTCCTGGAGAAGCAATGCTATCCCCTGCGACTTGTCGAGTGTATGGACTGTCTAATGGAGCCCTACTCTGTCATGAGGTTTGCTCGGTCATTCAGGGCCTGTGATACGCTGACCACCATATCCCTCGACTACAATGAGTAAGTATACATGTACTGCCCACCACCGACCACCTCCCTTTCACACAGTAGATATTGACATCCACACAGTAGATATTGTCATTTACACAGTATATATTGTCACTCAGTAGATAACGACATACTCAGTAGATACTAATATTAATATTTACACAGTAGATATTGACAGTCACACTGTAGATATTGTCATTTATACAGTAGATATTGTCACTCAGTAGATAATGACATATATACTCAGTAGATAATGACATATATACTTAGTAGATAATGACATACTCAGTAGATATTAATATTAATATTTACACAGTAGATATTGACAGTCACACAGTAGATATTGTCATTTACACAGTAGATATTGACATCCAGCACTAGGATTTGCTGCTACCTACAATTTCGTACTTGATGTCAAATGTTTTTCATAGTCGGTTGAATATTTAATGTAGTAACATATTGTCTTGAAAAGCAAGTACAGTAAGACATGTGTTTATTGTTATTAAACTAAGTAAAAGTTCACAGCTAAATCTGATTAGAGATTTTGTTGTCATATTATTGCTTATGGAAAATTATGTTTTCCAAGATGGCCTTTATTCGATTTTTCCCTATCCCTGCAATCTACCTTTTACTGTTTTGCATTTAGATTTGGAGACGAGGGATGCAGAAACCTAAGTAAAGGCATGGAGGGCAATGTCACTGTTTTATCCATCAGTATGTGTTTCTGTGACCTTGGACCGGAGAGTGGAAAATACCTAGGCAATATTGTGTCACGGACGGCTGTCAGGTAAGTATCTAATGGGACATTACAGAAAATTGGTGTTTCTGTGTCCTCCGACAGAACAGACACCTAGCACTTAGGTCTGTTCTATAGATCGACAAGAAACTTATTTTCGCAAAGTGATTTTTGTTATACCATGATGATGGTACTTTCTTTGTTCTGAAGTTCAGTCAAGTTTTGACAATTCATTTTCCAAATAATTACAATAATGAAATAAGATTCCTTTAGAAAGTCAATTTCTGTGTAAGTTGTGTGAAATATTTGGTATTCAAGTGTGGCAGATGTTAATTGTACATAGGATTACGGTCGCCTTCTAGCTTCACGCTAGGGGGAATTTCCCTTTTAGTTCAGTGGTAGACCGTCTGACTAGGAAGTTTGGGATCGCGGGTTCAATCCCGAGTGGAAGCACACTACTCTTCCTGTTACACAAGAATGATTTAAGGATACTTACTACTAGGGATGGATCTTTTACAGAAGAGTTCCAATAACTGACCCTAAGAATATATCTTATAAATGATTATTAGGAGTTTGTTCAGGACTTGATGACAAATGAAAAGTATGCAACATGGATTGATGAATTAACAGCATTAAAATATCTCTGAAATATTAGTTTTGCACTTTAAAGGGATATAACTCTAACTCAAATAATTGGTAAAATATTTAATGTAGCATATACCCTTAAATAAATAAAGGAATTTCCAGTGTATAATGGCTTTTAGATTTTAATTAAATGGTATACACTAAAGGGCATGGTGGGAGAGTGGACAAGAAGGCATTTCTTTCGACGACAAATACAAACATAATACATACAATATCAGTTATAAGTGCCTCCTTAGTATCAGCTGTTTTAGAGGATCTTCTCTACTCTGTGAATGAACAATTACAAGCTTTTTAAGGTCATCACAGCTAAATATTGAATTGAAATGTTATCCACAGAGATCTGTTTCTGGATGGGAACAACTTGGAGTGTGAAGGTGCTATTGATATCATTAAGTTGTGTGCCGAACAGGCGAACTTCGAGGCATTCCAGAAGGCGGAGAAAGCTCGTCTGAAAGCAGAGGAGGAGGCGCTGAAAGCTGAGCAAGGTCAGTCTAAAAATAGACCTTGTCTTAGTAACCAACTTAACAAGTTTTTGTCTTAGTTGGTTACAGACAGAAAAGTTGTATATTTAAATACATGTAGTGCAAGCCTATAAGGTGACATTATCCAATATGGATCACCAAACCATCATTTTCTTAATCCATTAAAAATTCAGCGGGTGAAAATCTTCGTTTATAGGTGTATCAAAAGAAGAAAAATGGATGGGTGTTCCTACCAATGAAATAAACATCCAGGGCTCATGTGAGATATTTATAGAACACTCTGACGTCACCAAATAGCTTTAGCTTTATCATACCAAAATATCCCACAACGATTTGTTTTGTTTGTGTTTAACGTCTTATTAACAGATATGGTCATTTAAGGATGTGTCAGGTTTAGATGGTGGAGGAAAGCCGGAGTTCCCTGAGAATAACTACCGACCTACAGCCAGTACCTGACTGCTGCCCAATGTAGGCCTCGAACCCGGGACCCAGTGGTGGAGGGCTAGTGGTAGCAGAATGTCAGATGCCTTAACCACTTGGCCACAGCGGCCCCCACAAAAATGAATATGTTTAACATCTGGTTTATAGTATTAACTTACAGCAAGTCTATATTTGTGGTTTAAAGGTCTGACTCAGGCATGAATACAGTGAAAAATGAATATGATATAATAAAAATGTTCCTCTTTTTGTTTTTAAGAGAGAGAAGGTCGACATCGAGTCCATTCAGCTTTGTCCGGCGGCATGGCCTCAGGATCAGAGAAGGAAGATTTAGGAGGAGACGAGAAAAAGAAAAAGAAGAAGAAAGGTAAGGAACTAATGAAAACAAATTAACTTGAATGTTTATCTTTAAGCCAATGTGCACCCATCTGTCTATCTGTCTAGGTATGCGTGTACATCTCAGTGTCTCTCCCTATGGTGAAAATTCAGTGGAACCTTGATTTGACCTGATATTTTGAGATTTTACATACCAGGTAATGTAGTTGAATGTAAGTCCAAATAAAATCATTGCTGTTTCTTTCCCATGTTTTTCATGCCTTGCCCAATCTTTTTGGGTAATTAGGACAATCACTGTCAAAGTTTGAAATTTTGACTGCATAATTAATCTGTGTGAAAATATTATGCAAAACAATTTTTTTCTCTTACCTTCATATCCTATTATTTTCATCTGAAAGAGGAAACACATGCATTTTTTTTGTTAAGGTTCAGTATGTGACATGAAATAAAATAAAAGTTGTTCTCATGAAAAATGACAGTCTTTTAAAAGAATGGAACGGCCAGTAAAACTAGCGTCAGTTAGCATTAAATATTTTACAGATCTCGTAGTCCAAGGTCAAGGTGAAATCCTGATAAAACAAGATTTTATACAATGCTGTTCAGTTTTATAGTTCTCCAGAAAAGAGGATATTTTAGTGAATGTGTATTTTTACAATTTAGATTCATGCCATATCAGTAAATATAGAGATGTATATCTACTTCAATTTATAACTCTTCTGTGTTTGAAGGTAAAAAGAAGAAAAAGAAGGAGGAGGGACCACCCCCTGTTGGTCCCTGGTTACGCAAGCTTCACTTGGCTGACAACGGCATTGACAATGTTGCCTTTGGCAAGGAGTTTGCACCCATAATATTTGTTAGAGTTTTAAAAAAGTAGGTTTTTGTGATGTAACTAATAAGAAAGTCATTTTAAAATGTTTTGTTAAAAAGATCTGGTGAACAATCCCTTACCAATGTCTCCAAAGCAGGAAAAAATATTTGTTAACTTGTTTTAATATATACAGTTAGTGACGGAATATAGGAAATCAAATAAAGTTAAGTGTACTGGATCATTCTCCCATTAAATGAAAATACAAAGCAATAAAATTTGACATAATACAGGGTTTTAAACAACATTTAATTGGAAAGAAAAGAAGAGGTAAAAAATGCACATGCAAATCTTTCCTGTAGTTTATTCTCAGAAAGGATTAAATTCAAAACTATTGGGGTGGTCAGGTGGCGCATTGGATAGCACACTTTCCTTTCATCAAGGCAGCCTGTAAAAGGTATGGGGTCACCCGCCCAACCATGTGGGTTTTCTCTGGGCGCTCCAGTTTCCTCCCATGTTAAGACCCCTGTATGCTAACATCCGGGCCAACAAGAGTGATTAACATAAGTTGAAATAACTTGTTTGATAATTATTGTAAAATAAATCAAGTTTATAATATATATTTAATTCAAAACTAAAACTATGTATCTATGGATAGGTATTCAAAAAAGATCATCTAAAAACAAGAAACACAAAAAAATATTTGTTAATTTTCAGATATTCCTCAAAATTCTCATTTTAAAATTTGTTCACGACAATCAGAGCCTTTTTAGTTCCTCAGGTCTGATGTTTTAAAATTATTCACATTCCCAGGCTGATCATGGGTTCCGAGTCATTTGAGGAGTTGGACTTAGAGGATAACCTCATTGGGGACCTGTCAGCCCGGGAAATCGTGGAGGCACTGGAACATCGGAAGGAAGGTAAGAGTACTAGCTACTTCCTGGATCTTACAATGGCTGGATCTTACAATGACTGGATCTTACAATGGCGGGATCTTACAATGGCTGGATCTTACAATGACTGGATTACAATGACTGGATCTTACAATGACTGGATCTTACAATAACTGGATCTTACAATGACTGGATCTTACAATGACTGGGTCTTACAATGACTGGATCTTACAATGGCTGGATCTTACAACGACTGGATCTTACAATGACTGGATCTTACAATGGCTGTATCTTACAATGACTGGATCTTACAATGGCTGGATCTTACAATGACTGCATCTTACAATGACTGGATCTTACAATGACTGGATTACAATGACTGGATCTTACAATGACTGGATCTTACAATAACTGGATCTTACAATGACTGGATCTTACAATGACTGCATCTTACAATGACTGGATCTTACAATGACTGGATCCTACAATGGCTGGATCTTACAATGACTGGATCTTACAATGGCTGGATCTTACAATGACTGGATTGTCCAACAGGATATAGCTTGCATACTTGTCAACTTTTTGAAATTTCCATTGGGAAGATTCTGTATGCTCAAAATTTAAACATTAATAAAATGTATGTTTTCACCCCCTAGAGCCAAAAAACCCCTTTAAAATGACAATTCCTATAATTTAAAATCATTAGATTTTAGAATATAGAAATAGATTAGCAAACTCACTGGTTGAAAATACTAAATTTAAAAGTCCAAAGTCAGGAGTCTCCCTCCTAAATAGGGAGAGTTGGCAAGTACCAGTTTGTCAATTCTCAACTAATACCAGGGTAGTTGTTTATTTCATCCCCAATGGCTTAGTTGCTTCTTCATAACAAAATGTTCACAATTTAGCTTGGCATATCATATTAAATAGACTTGAAAGTTTGATTTCAACAAACATGGAGGACTGTGGCATGAAAAAGGAAAATGTTATCCTGTGTTCAGTAGATGATCATGCTTATTTGATCAGATATGAACACATGCTCGGAATTATAAAGTTTACTCTGTTACATGCTGTAAAGTATACAATATTTTTTTTCAGTATGCAAGATTTTAGAGACTCCTTTCCCGGTTGTCTTGTATACTAGACAAATTATAGGATTACATAAATTAAATTCTTGAAAATAAAGAAATGTCCCCTTGTTGAAAGGATTGGCTAGATGAAGCTAATATTTGGAAATATGGGCTGTATATGTTAAAGTCTATTATATTGCAGCCATTTTCGTATATATGCAGAATGACCAGGTTCATCTTCTTTTAGATGTAACATTTTTCAGGAGTGAAATCTGGTAGACCTTTTAAATGTTTATACAAGCCTTGATAGTCTTTTCCAAAGCTGACCATAAAACAGCATAAGACCAAAAGGTCCATTACTAGTTCATTAATAAACATCTCTGGTCCAACAGGTTAAGTCGACTGGAATGCATTAAAAGAAGATTGCCCTGGTGTGCTTTTTATTCGTAAGAAACTGGCTTCTGAAAAATGTATTTAAACTTCTGCAATTACATGGCAAATCTATGACTATAAATGTAATAATTTTTTGTAGAAAAAATGGGAGGTGTAAAGTTAAAAACAACACACAAACTTCAAGCTGACACATTCAAAAATATATGTAAACTTGGAGCTGGTCTCAAGAAAAAGAAGAAAAAGGGAAAAAAGGTAAGATTTATTGTCAAAGTACAGGCATATATGAACAAGATTCTTCTACAGTGTATACAACTATATAATAACTATATTATATATATATGAGATTGCAAATAAATCATTCAACTGACTTTTACAAGATTTACATCATATTATTATACTTGCCTTAAGAAAACACAAGAAATGTATTAGAAATTGCATTTTTTTTTATTATTTTTTGTTGGGAAGTGATGTCCTTGGCGGCCCATTGAGACTGTCAATTTTGATAAACAAGTAACCTTGAGAGAATATTGTTGAGGGACCACTGACCGTAGTAACTAATGACCTTGATGGACCACTGACCGTCGGAACTGATGACCTTGATGGACCTCTGACCTTAGGAAGTGATGACTTTGATGGACCATTGACCTTAGGAAGTGATGACCTTGATGGACCATTGACCTTAGGAAGTGATGACTTTGATGGACTATTGACCTTAGGAAGTGATGACTTTGATGGACCACTGACCTTAGGAAGTGATGACCTTGATGGACCATTGACCTTAGGAAGTGATGACTTTGATGGACAACTGACCTTTGGAAATGATGACCTTGACTGACCACTGACACTCAACATTGAAAGACTAATATTATAACTGACTTTTGAAGAGTGCTTTCTTTGATGGGACACTAACCTTAATAAGTGATGGCGTTGACATGTGTCAATATTAATATCTATCACTGATATTGGGAGACTGTTGGCCTAAATTAACCACTGACCAATTTTGGATTTTTTATGAAGGTTGAGACATAAATTGTACATACAGTAGTTTCCAAGTCTGATTCTACTGTAAATGGGATTTGTCTAGTGAGAATGAAGGTCACAAAATACACTGTTCCTTATTGTTCTATATAATTTACCTGGCAAAACAATCTAATCTGTTATCAATCAAAGATACTGTATTGCGGGGAAATTTTTGCCACAGTTAAAATTTCACCTTATTCGCTCGCCGCAGTGAGGGCAAAGAATGTTAGTATACAAATACCCTTAATACTAATTACATGTGAATGGTAAAATTTACATTGGGCGCATATGGATTTTACTGGTGACCATGAAGGGGGATATTTGACTGAGCAAAAATTTTACAGTATTCTCTGACATAAATAGTTCATAATGATGATTTTAGATGGAAAATACTGTTGGTAAGATATGGGGTTGAAGGTATTTTATTAAATTTGTTTTATTTTTCATTTTTACCTCTTGGTGAGGTCAGGGTTTGTACTGTACTTAGTGAAAATATGTCTTTTTATATTACTTCACTTAGAAATGAGATCAGGGTGACACCTACGTGACATTGTAGTAAGGTGTGTTTGACTGTGGTGGCCATTTGTAATGAATTAATATTGATAACTGTGTATGGTGTGTACCACATAATGCTAACAAGTCAGTTTGAAATTAAATGATTAAGCTTACAGTGTGAACCTGTACACATGTTTTAGCTGGTGTGTTGTATTTCAAGTTTATAAATCGGGGCTTTTAGAAGTTGACCAATGGCATCCAGAAATTTCAGAATTCAAATAACAATTTCCTAGAGATTTTGAAGGTGAAAACATGTACTTTCAAACCAAAGAGCTAAATCTATTTTTGGTGATTCAAAATCATACCCTGGGGTCTCGTGAAAGCCATGAATACAGGCATATTTATAGTTTATAAATATTTTGCAGAACTAGAATTTCACATTTAAAATCAAAAACTAAATTTCCTGCTTTTCTTGCCAGTAAAGTCAGTATTACAAGTGGTCTAACGTGTACAATTTAAGTATGTTGTGTGATGAAAATTTACTACGACTAATACCTTTTAAGTACTTCATTTTTGAGGTAGAAGTGTAATCTGTATCTTTATTATCTGGATACTGTGAAATTGGATTTTTTTGAGAGTGAAAATTTTGGAATTTTGACTTGTTAAATTACATGTATATAGTGGTGTGGGAATTCTCGTGTTGTTGATGCAGTCCAGAGATCACATGTGTTATTATATGTTGGAATAGCTCATTATTAAATTGCAGGGGTGAATAAGTTGAATAAATACAAAATTAGAAGAAAGATAATCAAAGAATGAAATCTTTTACTCTACAGAATTGAATCCTGAACTAAACCTTTCACCACAAACTTTGCAAAACATACCCCACCAAATATGGCAACTATACAGTACCACATAAAGCTGTTTTGTTAATTTCTAATGAGTTAATTTAGCTGAATTATCATGTTTAATGAGTGGTGATTTATTTGCTGCACATTATAATACAAGCTGAATCATCTTTAACATTTGTTTGCCGTGCTTTTAGTTACACAAACTAGCTACTTACATATTATGAAGCTTGACTGGATTTTATTTTATAAAGCTTTACTTGTTTGGGGAAAATGTATATACTCATATGATAAAATAAATGTATATCACATATACATATTTGTATCATGAATTTGCCAAAAACTTAAAATATGTCTGCTGCTGATACTTGAAACGCACAATATAAACTGTGCACTACTAATGGGTCTCTGTTGAACAGAGATTGTCATTGATCATAGCCTTGTTTCTTGTTACAAAGTGGACCATAGAGAATAGAAATGCATTAAATTTCAAAGCAACATTACAAACGATCAATTTGAGTGCATTCAGTCCCATGTTAAAGTTAGTTTCCCTATGTTTATATTGGAAATACATGTACTTTTTAAAATGTATCTAATATTATTTTCAGTTTGTTCATATTAGCAGTACTTTTTCAAAATATAGCTACAATAACAAGCATTTCAGAAAAACTCCAAACCATCACGAGAAAGTGTCTTCCATAATGAAAGTTAATGGCCGACATGTTTGTTTATAAGGTTGTTGAAGGGATGGATTATATTTCGTATCATGACACTATTTGTTGTAGATATTAAAATGTTTTCGTAATATCTGTCACCATTTGATGTATGTTACATTTGAATCGTGATGATTAATCTACAACTGAACCAACATCGTGTTCACTTGAAATGACACAAGATGATTGCATATCTTCCATAAGATTCATCAGTTCGGAAATATGCAAACTGCAAAATGATTTTTACTTTTATACACAAACATTGTATGTATTAAACATTTGAAGACCTACTGGTCCCTTTGTCAAGCTATGGAAGCTAACATTATTTTATGAGCACCAAAATGCTATGTAAGACACTTGGCTTTCTAAATGAACGGTCCATTGTACAAGATATTTCTCTCATTTTGTAATACATTTTCACTTTATCTGCCATTTTTTTTTACAGAAAAAGAAGAAGTGATTAGCTACATGGAGCTAGATGGATAATGTTGTAATCCATTCATTTGACTTCACTTCTGTTCCTTCTTTCATAATGACGCCATAACACGTTGCCATGGGAATATGGATCTCCCTGTCAACACCTGGTTACCTTGATAACTAAATGTCATGGTAACATAAACAGATGTTCCATCGATATATAGCGAAAGATCCAGATCGAAACACTCAGATTAGGTCTGGGTGTTTTCAACCGTGGCCATTGTTGATAACTCCCGGGTAACTATGGTAACATTACCAATTAACAGGCTATTATTCTATTAATCCCAACTCCAGTGTATGAGACATGAAGTCTTACTAGTTGAATTGCATGACTAAATTCAACAAACGTTTTCATGTATTGCACCTGCAGGGCCAAGTGCTTTGGTAAAAATTACACGATGCTTGAGTAGCCATTATGTCAATCTAAACTTTTGTAAGAAGCTCCTACCCTCTGTTGAACTGTAGTGAGCAGGTACGTTTCTGTCCACCTGTCAGATGCTATAGGTAACTCCAGGTGGTGTTATTTTCGCAGAACTCTGCATTACTTTTTGCAGCTTATAGTAACTAACAGCTGAAGAGCTTTGGCAAAAATGTCGTGGTGCTTGAGCGGCCATTATGACAACCTAACATTGTGTAAGAAGCTTCTGTCCTTCTGCTGAACTGTAGTCAGCAGGTACGTTTCTGTCCACCTGTCAGATGTTAAGTAGCACCAGGTGGATGTAATTTTCTCAAAAATCAGCATTACTTTTTGTAGCTGATAGTAACAGCTTTAGTGCTTTGGCAAACATGTCATGGTTCTTGAGCGGCCATTATGCCAATCTTAAAATTGTGTAAGAAGCTTCTGCCCTTCTGTTGAAATGTAGTTAGCTAATGAGGTTCAATCATGGAAATCTGCAGCAAGAATAAAACGAGAAAATATTGCTGCTGAAGTTTGTTAATCCAATTATTGGTTGTATATGCAGAATCTTTTTTCACTTATTATATTAATATCAGACTTGTTTGCCATTGTGATGTCACATTTCGTTTAAGAAAACAAAATGTTCACAAAGAAAGAAAAAACACCTGTCACAGCTTAAATTTATTACCTTTGAAACCTGCACTTACCTGGTTACACATAGGAAAATATTGGTGCGGTTTAAACTTTTTTTCATTTAAAAACTCTTTCAAGTTTTATTCAAATATGGCAATATCTTGAGCTGATATCAATAAGACAGTTGTTGAAGAACGTTGCTTAGATTAAAAAGATAACGGATATATTTCCTAGAAAATTCTGAAAAAAACCATTCTTAACAAGGTAGGTTAAACTTTAAGAATAAGTCAACTCCCTAAGAAACAGGTAAGTGATAATGATATAAAAGTTAAAGCTATTTTTGACAGAGGATATGAAATTAAAACTTAACTTTGTGAAAACGACGTTATGCTGTGGTGCCAGCAAAATCTCCAGTTGTCCAGGTCTCCAGATATTCCACGCCCTTAAGTGACCTTTGCTGTTGATAGGACATTAAACCCTGTACAACAAACCAACCGTTATCTTCATTCTCCTAATCTAACATGTCAGTGTGTGATTGTATATGGACGTTTGTGCCAAAACAGTCCATGTTTTATGGGGGAAAACTAGTTCAAGATAATATAAATCTTTATTAGACGATGTATGCAAACTGTTTTCCATTAGACTATATCAGTATATTAAACGTAATACTATTTGTTAAGCTGTACACACGGTGTCTTAATACGGTGTAGTAATAATGTATCAATACAATGTATTCATCCCGTTTTTATATCAAAAATACAATACACATACCTCAAACAACCTGTTACGGAAACAAGACGTGTTGTAGTACAGTAGCACGTCTTTTTATGCTGATCTCAATAATCAGGAAATACTTTCCAAGTTAGAAAGTGAAAGATTGAATTGTCCATGTGTATATTTGTTTTATTTGGAGAAATTCCCAGGGGAATGGTGGAAAGCTGACTATTGTTGTGCTTTAATCTTGCTTTTGTAAAATTTAAGTCTTGCAAATGAATATTTTGTGGTACACGCTAACAAAAAACAAAAAAACATATTTCCAATTTATTTAAGAAAGCATTGCTTGTTAATAAATCTGAAAAAATATTTTGCATATATATTTTTAGAAATGCAATTCTTGATTTTTTTATTTGATCTAACAGATAAGTTTGGTGATTGAAAGTTTTATGATAATTATTTATGCATCCCGCTCTTGATTCGATAGTGATTAGTGTTTTTAAAAGGCGATGCAATTCTTTGATAAAAATACGTCGGAACTATTTTGCAACTGCTTTTGAAAATGAGAAAAAAATCACTAAAACAATCGTTGTTTCAAGAAATCCACCGAACCTTAAGAAAACCTGACAATCTCCTTCCATATAGGCTGGTAGTCGCGGAACATCGTTTTTTACATAGCTATCCTTATCTTTTATTTCTATTTATATACATGATATATGCATGCAATAGTTTTCTAGAAATGTGTTTTGTATCTTATTTGCCACAGAAAGAATATATATTTGCAATACCGATTGATGTGTCTGTTTACATGGCTTGCCCGTTACTGTAATGATAATCTTTGTTGAATAACATATACACCCCTAACATAATTTACAAAATGCACTTTTAAGATAGATCTATAATGTCAACAAATCTACCAAAATCTTCATTAAACTTTTGAAGTATTTGTTCTTGTATCTTTTTCCGACACTTTGGTCGCTATGTTCTTAAACACACTGGATATCTATAATACAATTGTACAGTGGCCAAGCTAGGAACATTTCACTTGTTCAAATCAACGATTGTTTTCATATCTGTAGCTGCCAATCAAAATGTAAATAGAGGCCAAATTAGAATGGTACTGTAGCAAAAAAAAAGGAGAGTGGGTGGGCTTAAATGGGGTTTTTTTTTTATAAAAAAAACTACTGACCAATTTGAACATAAATGCATTGGCCAGTGACTTGGAAATCGTTTTTAATTGTTACAGAGTAGATGTTCACAAGCTTGGGAATGCCTTTAAAGAAAAAGATGATACAAATTATATAACTCAAAGACATTTTTAAGTAAACAACTAATCTAGAAATTGCATTGTGTACAAAATTCCACTAGATGAATTTGTTTTTTTTTTGAACTTTTCAAAGTATATTTATTGGTAAAGTATTTTATCTTTGTTGTTTTGTTATATATTGTTAGCTTTATAGGTACAGACTGGGTTAGTTAAAGTTTATAGTGTAACTGTCAAAAGTCAGTAAGACAGATTGTTAATTCGTTAAAAGATTTGTCCAAAATGTATTGGTATAATTATTCAAAATTTTAATACTTTCTAAAGTACATATATTGGCAAAGAGTTGATTTGTGATGTATTTTAACAATTCTGTTGGGATTGAAACAAAAGTGTCACACTTGACTGGTTTTATTGA